TTGTTAAAGTTTGTAAAAAATTCAATATAAACGCCTGGTTTTTCCTATCCCTTCTCAAAGTTCTGCCATCTTGGCTAGTATACCTTTCTTGGCGATGCGACGAAGAAGATACCAGTTTTAGAGGTTTTTACTAAATCACCGAGAATGCCAACATCTTCCCACCAGTTGTCCCAACGAAACTAAGGAAACAAGAGCGGCACACTCGTCAGATGAATTTTTTTTGTGATAGAGAATTCGAACAGCCAAGCTGAGCCACACTCTTTACATGCCATAACAAGCTAGCAATCTAACTAAATTTTAACATATTCAGGTAACACAATTAAATAATTCTGGCTTGGGCTCCGTTCTTACAGAGACCCGTTAAGTTAAGATCAGAGTACACTGGGAAGAAAAAAAAAAGGCAACTCCATTAATCATTGTCCATCTCATGTAACTTCCCTTCAGTCATGCAGATTTAATCACGGCTGCTTCGATCATGTAACTTCAGCTTTGATGGGATTCGAATTAAGAAATGCTCCCTTGTTGAAAATAATTTTGCTGAAATTCGTATGCGCGATTGTAATTCATGAATGAATGGCCTTATCCCTGAGTATCTCCTGTCCAACTCTTCCACAATGAAACACACAGTTCCCTAAGGGACTCCGTAAACAAACTGGTTGTTCCTTTACTGCAAGCAAACCTTCTGAAAATATTTTCATTATAATGGCGCAACCCTCTGGAACAGTTTACCCTTTAGTCTTAGACAGACAGAATCGTCTTCAATTTATATGTCAGACTCACAGCATTCATGGAAAACAAACTTTTAGTTACTAAATAATTTGATATTATAAGTAAGTAATTAGTTATGTCAAGGTTGGCTTTTTAGCATAGATTTAAATCTTATTATCGTGTTTTACATCCCAACAAATTTTAAGCGAGTGTAAAGAAAGATTAAAGATTAATCTGACTGCCTCAAATTAAAATCTCTTTAGAAACGACTCGAAATGTCTCTTTTGTTGCCCTTGAAATGTTCGCAGCGCTTAACCGCTGGGTTTAATCATCAAGCTGGCAAACTTGCCTCTGTAAACAATTGAATTTAATGCTCTAGTTGTTGATGGATGTAAAAAAAACAAAAATTGAAAACCAGTCATATTGCCACTCGACTGAATTAATCCTGATATACTCAATGACTTAAAAAAAATTTCCTCTGTATATGGATTAAAGGCATCGTAACAGTAATGGGTATCGAACTTCAAGATGAGAACTGAAAATATTCCTAAGAGCTCAGATTGTTCAAGTTCGTCTCTCATAATCCTTTTCATTTTTGATAATCCTTGTCCTTTTTGGTTTATTTTTCCATTTAGGGTGTTTTTCTTTTTCACCAAAATAATACAGTTTTCCTCTCGAGTAAACTTTACTTTTCGAATCGAAACGAATCTTGAAATGTATCATCTGGCAGCTCTAAACTTTGATAAACCCAGCCTTGACACAGGCCACGAGCTATTGCTCACGCAAATATATCAATATAGTCTTAATCTGACATTCATCCGTTTGGAGTCATGTAGGTTCAGCATTTTGCTGCTTCCTGTCTGATTTTTCCATTTATGTCCAGAAATTCACGCGGTAACAAAAATGGCTAGATTTAAAAAGAGTTTCGCCAAACAGAGTGAATGTTCATGGGTTTGTTGATTTTAGTCAAATTCGTTACAGCGAAATCAGCTTGGCGTAATTGAAAATTTGACAAAATATCAGTCAAATTTGTCAGAGCGAAATCAGCTTGGCGGATTTGACGATTTTGATGAATGTTCGCCATTTTTAAGATGTTGCATGGCTTTTGTCCGGTTTTCTGTTTTACCGATTCATGTGCGACCTGAAAACAGAGGACAAAGAGCTAACCTGTGGATGTACCACCACTAAAGTATTACTACAAGGAATTCGTTTTATCGCTGTATTTCAGTCCAGAATTTAATCAAACTAGTCATGCCGGGTTTACATAACTCCAAATCACTTTACGCGGATTCCTTTTTCCAATGATTGAGACCCCGCGATACTTTCGTGAAAGAATTCATGCATGAAATGTTTATTTCACGTCATCCCAACCTTAGTTATGTCCTAAATGAAAACATTCTGAACCAAACAAGCATTGCGGTAATCAAAATTTAACGATTTCTCTAGGCACTGAAGCCGTCTAAATTCTTGAATGACAAAAGGGTGCTTTCTGAAGCCCTTAAACTGTTTCGTTTTGAATGTCGAAGAAAGGGCTTTTCACGGTTCGCAGAAAAATTGATTATTTTCCTGGGCTTCTGTATCGTCGGCAAAAGATGTTCACTTGTATTCACTACCGACTCTTTCTATATACTTTGATGTGAAGAAAGTAAAACGAACAGTTTTCATCATGAATAATGCTGGGCCTAAAAAACTATTAAAAACATAAACAAAAGCGCTGAGAGCTGCTTCCTTTAGCAGAGTTTGAACAGATGTTACCAAAAAGGGCAATCATGAGAACAGATGTACGTGTTTTTTGATAATGAAGAAACGGAATAAGATCCGGTGGAATTTTTTGTGGCGGCTTATGAAGAAACTGAAACTGCTGGTCACGTTTAAAAAGTGGACTTTGGCCAGAGAGACAATACATTTAAGAATCAAGTTGCTATACACCGTGCCACAAATTCAACAGGAGTGAGTCCTGCAGTGTGATTCTCATACAACAGTAGTCACTTCACTTCACGTTTGTAACTTACAGCATTTTCTGAAATGTCTTCTTCAAACATTCCAATTTCTTTTCTTTTAACGGTGGTAGTTTTTTGTTGCTCAGTAGCAAGCTGTGATTGTAAATCTTCAACTCAAGCGTTCCACTTCGAGGATTACTCAGAGCAGCGAGTAAAAGGATGCTACTATCATAACCAGACTTTGGGGATTTGTTTTGATATTGAACAAGGCTCGATAAAACTGATGGAGACGGCCGGGAGAATAATAGTGTTATACCAAGAACTTGGTACAGACATGTTCTATTACAAGATTATAGATCAAGATTTCCTAGGGTAAGTGAAACGATGTTTTTTTATCGCAATCGGGAAAAGAGTTGTCATTGACCCGTGCTCTTTGATGAAAGATATCTGTCGATCAACTGTCAGCAGCTATACTGAAAAACGCCCTCGAAAGTTCCCTGACGTTCTTATTCTGTTCTGCTACGTCATTCATAGCGTAAAGTGGGTAATACCGGTAACATTGTAATTCATCGTACAACATTAGACTACTGAAAATTGGAAAAAAAAAACCCTTGAAAAATGATGAAGTTGTTCACCGGCATACTTGTAATGAATCAGTCTGTAAACAGAAGAAAGAAGAAACACAGTTTTTAGATATGTAAAATAGACAGCATTTAGAAACCACTTTGTCATGTCATAAGATAATCCCATCCACATAAACATTTTCTGAAAGCCGTTTATTACAGAAAACAACCGCATGTTTGAAGTTTCTTTAAAGAAAATGTCGCCGTTTTGTAAAAAGATACATTCAGCGCCAGAACCTCTTGAATATCACTTAACACGAAGAAACAGACCACGCGATCTTTTAAAGCTGGCAGCACTTACGTCCACAGAGAATTAACTTCTGATCAATAATTTTGTCAATCCTCTTTAGGCGCGGTCCATCATTGTTTTATATTCCCAAAGCCATTCCCAAAGTATCACACAATCTTTACGAGTTTCTGACGATGGGCCGGACCTCCGAGGAAACACAGGTCGAACTTCAAGCGTTAAAAATCCATTACCATGAGGCCATAAGAGAGCTGCGGCAAGAACCGGAAATTCAACTTCTGGAACGTTTGTCACAAGCACTTGCTGAAAACGTAACCCAATCGGAAATGTTAAAGCCATTTCATGCCCTGTGTTACAATCTCCTGAAGACTTCAGACGTTCAGACTCCACACGAGTTGAGGGCTAGACGCGATTTGGGAAATGAAATTTCTGGGCACCATAGTAAGAGACAAAAGCGCTGTGACTTAGCGCTTGATCCAAAACAAAATAATTGCACTGGTATGTGTGGCCCCAACTGTTCATGCTGGTCTTGGGTCTGTGGTGACTGTTGTTTCCATCAGGGATGTCATGAACACGATGTATGTTGTGAGAAATATGGGTCTTGGAGCGCCTATTGTGCTTTACCGCTCGGCTTCAGTTGTGAAAGTTATAGGACATGTTAACGATGGAAATGACAAGTTGCCTTTTTTTTGTAAAGTATGCATCTTTTGCTTCAATAAATTATACTTTAAAAATTAAAATAGATGAAATATAAACACATTTTTCGTTTTAAGTAAATTATCTGTACAACTTTACCAGTTTCTTTTGGTTTAAAAAACATGGACTCAGAACCTATACCTAGTGTTTTGCTACTTAACCCTTTACAACCCAACATCAGTGTGCAGGTTCTTCATACATTTCTTAAGGAGCTGACGAGGAGAATTTGTTTAACAATCAAGAGCTTCTTTAGTTGGTGATCATTTCTTTTATCTTTTGACCTCAATGTGTGTTTTAGGGGGTGATTATGGAGGGAGAAATTAGATGCTAGTCACTTTGAGGGGTCATAGGGTTAATTTTGGTCCTGATTACCCTTTTTAAAAGAAGAATCAGAACTTATCTTTCAGGTTTGAATAACAAGGGTTTCAATAATGCTGATAGCTCATTTTTATTTCTTTTGTGCAATTAACAGCAATTTAACTTCTACATTATAATGATGAAACTTTCAAGAGCATATGGAGCAGTTTAACAAGACCTAGCTTTTCAATTCTCTGAACATGGTTCTTTTTTCTCATTCCCATGAATGTAATGAAATATTCAATATGCTTATCAACAAATATCTTTTTACTTCATTCTAGGTAAATAAAACTTGTTTGGATCGAATTTGATAAAAAAAATCATGACAAGTTTTGTTATCAGACTTGCACTGAATTACTCAAATATACTAGTTGCAAGCATAAAATATTTGAATAGTCTAAATAGTCTAGAATCATCCAATGCACAACATCCAAAGCCATGAATTTTTTTCAAATCACATTTTGATACACAGTGTTATTGTATACAAAGTATCATTCCATTGATCATGTGTATGTAAATAAAAAAGAAAGACATTGTTCTTTTTGATTGTTCAACCAGTGAAAAAAATATTCTTTGATCTCTATAAACGAGACAAAAAATCTGAGTCTCTCTCACAAGGATTGAAACTCCAGACCTTCACACTTCATTGTTGATGCCCTACACCGAAGTAGACAGTGCTTATCATCAAGTTTCACCATAGAAAGTGAAAAAAACATTTTTCTTTATACAATTAAGCTCTACAGTATTTTTTATTTTTATTTACAGGCTCTGTGCTCACAATGCTTGTCCCATTAGCCTAAGAGATACACAAAGGCCTGTAAAGTCTGTGACAATTATGTTTTTTTTTAATCCACCTAATCATTGAAAAATTACAACCAACGTCTGAGATATGTACATATTAGGTGATGAGCACTGAGAAAGCAATTTCATTTGATCATAACCAGTCTTCTTTCCTATCTAATTTTGTTACACAAGTGAAAAGGAACAATGAAAGAAAACACATCACACCAATAATTACACCAACATTGAAAACCAGAGAAGCAAAGGAGAATAGACAAAGGCAGGAGTTCAACCACCCATAGCTCCGTGATGGAAATGCTTCTTGTGTTCCCTTGGTTTAAACATAAAGTGAAATTCAAAGGAAAATACATCATTTGCTCACCTAGTCATTGTTTTAATTCACCAATAAGGTAATGGTGTCTCTTCAAATTTTTAAAATCAGAATTCACAAAAATTAATCCAAAATGTTTGTATCATTAACACTTTAAATTTTTAACTAATCCCACTCCACTTGATGGATGTATACAAAATTTCATCTGTCTCATCATTTATAGAACAAATAAGGGCTGTTTTTTTAACAGTAGCACCCAGTCTTCCAGCTGAGATCATCTCAAATGGAGTAATTTTCTTTCCCCATGGAACAATAATAACAATGAAATATGAGTGATACCTGAATGGATCACCAGGATATGCTAGTAAATCTCCTCCAAATTTAACACCAGATGTTAAATAATATCCTTTTTCCCATAAGTCCAAAAATACCCTGTAATGCAGCTTTTCAGTTTCTGTGTGGGGGTATGTCCAATGTGCTATTGAAAGAGTCTGCAGTCTTTGTGATGGCATAATTGTTGGAATGTGAATTAAAGTTCCAAGGGCAGACAAGGCCTTTGTTTCCTCATGATTAATATCACGGTTAGGTGACACTCTCTGCAAGCTAGACTTGTCCTTACGTTTACAACCCAATTCAATTTCAATGTGATGGGCCTCAATGCTATCAGTTTTTCTTACTGATTCTTCATTAGTTGTCAAACCATTGTCTATATTACCTTTCGAATCCAATTGATTAGCAACTTTTTCCTCCTTTTGGTTGCATTTTTCAGGATTGCCTTCTTCTAATTCTTCACTTTTCACTTTTTTTACTGGACTAGTTACATTTTCATCTTTCTCTCTCAGTTTTCTCTTCCTCCTTCTTCCCTCCTCGATAATTTCTGCTAATTCCACCTGCTTTTCTTCTCTTTCTCTTTCAAACAACTCTCTCTGTTTAACAACGCTGTCATGGCGAAGCTCATGAAACGTCTTAACTTCTTCATTCGATGGAACCGGGAGATTTTCCGGTAAGTCAAACATCCTTGCCAGTCCCTTGTTCAAAAGTAACGTGGCCTCTGCTTGCGAAAGAAGAAGCGGCAAAGAAAAACAATGGTTCTGTTTTGGTTTACGAGGTAGTGATCCAATGAGTGATCCAACTATGCGATATTCAACACGAATTTTCTCAGCATCTTCAGGGTTCCAAACGAAAACTTTACTGGATTGAGAGAATAAAGTCACACAGGTTTCCGCGCCGTCCGCCATATTGAAAATTATCTTTTTTGTGTAACCGCTGAAGTAAACTTTTTAATAATCTCGGGCGGTTACACTGAAGAGCCTAGTCTCCAGTCTCCAGCTACGAGAATTTCCAATTACAATATTTCACCCTAGTTTAGTAAATACGACAATGACAAAGATCGATATCTATACGCAGTTTTCCCAGGAAATAGTCAAACTGGTTTTTTTTTTTTTTTCATCAAATTAGCGCATGACCTTCTCTCGGAATGTATAGTTGTTGCCTTCAAAGCTTGGGATACAAGTTTTATTTACTCGCTACGGTTCATAATATATACTTAGCACGGTATTTAAAAGTAGTCTTTAGACATAAGAAGAACTTTCTTTCGGTAGCAACCGGAGCCCATGCAATTGGCCTCTTAGCTTGAATTGTTTGGGAATGTAAGATATTTCAATCTCTTTTTAAGTCCAGGGTAAATAATCCGCGATAAGCACTGATGATTAATAAGAATTATCAACACACCTCAGCTGGTGTAGACGCCTTTTTGAGAGCCAGCAATACAAACGCCATACCAGACATACCGCGCTAAGGCATACCTGAAAACTGTGCACATCAACTATTCCACTGAGTGAGAGGCACCGGATACACAGCTTCCTAACACCTCTGCAAGAGGCGGGGGTGCATGGGCGGGGGGGGGGGGGGGGG